CAAAGCTGCAGCCGCCTGAGGCTCTCTACAGAGCGCTCGGGCGGCTGCAGCATGAGCGGGGCCGGCACTCCTGGCGGCGCCCCCTCCCAAGGGGCGCCCTAGGCGGCTGCCTAGTCCGCCTTACAGGTAGCGCCGGCCCTGTATACAGCCTGTATTATAATATATTATATAGTATACAGTCAGTATTATAATATATTATACAGTATACTGTCTCTATTATAATATATAGTATACAGTCAGTATTATAATATATTATATAGTATATCTGGCGGAACCAACCTCGCCACTGTCCATTGGAGAGGCCTGGTTGCTCGCCTGCTCCCTTTAGACTATGGTCCTGCATTTTAAACTTTTATTTTACCGGCAGAAAGGTTTATTCGTGCCTTTCTGTGGACTGTTAAAGCCATGCTACCCCACATAGCTATGCCATGGAGCCCAGTCGTATACTGAAAAGACTGTATGAAAGACTTTGGCTCCATGGCGATTGAACTGTATGTATGTGATCTGAGCGCCATTCGGTAGTAATGTGCGCTCAGATCTAAGCTATCTGGGGATATGTAGAATGTCTATGTTTTATGGAATAAATTTAACTGTATGTAATTTTATGTCTTTTATTGTATTGTTACTGCCATCTGGTTAATGGAGTTTTGCCTCTGTCCTGGGAGATAATTGGATTACTTCCCAATTATCTCCAGGACAGAGAGGAGGGATTGTGATGGGTGTGTTTTACGGTTCTCCTGTAAACGATTGGTTGTACTGTGTCCCACCCTGTGGGATGTCCCTTTGCATGGGGACTTGCATAAAAGCCAGTGTGTGGCCATTACAGGGCTGTTCCTGCTTTACCCTCAAAGTGAAGTGTCGTCTTATTATTGGGGAGGATTTATTGTATGCTGTTCCAGTTTGACTGCTAGGAGTGTAAACCTATTCGCATGGTTTTTCCTATTCGGCTGTTTCCAGTATTGCAGTGTTTGCAGTTCGGGAGAGTGATGATTGCAGTAGCTGTGCATCTGAAAAAGGGGAATATCGCCTAAACAAGTTTTAACCTCTTGTGGGCAAAACGGTCTGTTACAGTATACTGTCTGTATTATAATATATTATATAATATACAGTCTGTATTATAATATATTATATAGTATACTGTCTGTATTATAATATATTATATAATATACAGTCAGTATAATATATTATATAGTATACTGTCAGTATTATTATATAGTATACTGTCTGTATTATAATGTATTATATAATATACATTCAGTATTATAATATATTATATAGTAAACTGTCAGTATTATAATATATAATATACAGTCTGTATTATAATATATTATATAATATACATTCAGTATTATAATATATTATATAGTATACAGTCAGTATTATAATATATTATATAATATACAGCCTGTATAATATATAATATACAGTCAGTATTATAATATATTATATAATATACAGCCTGTATTATAATATATTATATGGTATACAGTCAGTATTATAATATATTATATAATATACAGCCTGTATTATAATAGATTATATAATATACAGTCAGTATTATAATATATTATATAGTATACTGTCTCTATTATAATATATTATATGGTATACAGTCAGTATTATAATATATTATATAGTATACTGTCTGTATTATAATATATTATATAGTATACAGTCAGTATTATAATATATTATACAGTATACTGTCTCTATTATAATATATAGTATACGGTCAGTATTATAATATATTATATAGTATATCTGGCGGAACCAACCTCGCCACTGTCCATTGGAGAGGCCTGGTTGCTCGCCTGCTCCCTTTAGACTATGGTCCTGCATTTTAAACTTTTATTTT